CCCTGTAATCGCGATTCTGGGGTTTTATATGCCCGGGAACACGATGGTAAACTCCGCTTAGCTCTCCGGGGTGACGTTCTTGAACACCAGCCCCTTCTCCTCCTCCTCACCTTTCTCCTCCCTTTTTTGGCCTGGGCAGCCAATTGTGTCGTTCAATTTTGCTGCTATCTATGTCTTCTGTCTTCTACAGCATGTAGGTTCTGTCTGGAAGAGATTCTGCCTCACATTCATGTAATCCTACTGCTTGTACTATATAATCTGAATAAACGCTGAATTTTACAGTTCTAACTATGCCTGTGTACAATACAGTTGTGAGCTAGATAGGTCAGGAAGGGTCCAATCTGACTTCCATTAGTGTCTGTATGCTCTGGAAAAAATGTCAAGGTATGGCAAAGGGTTCTATGTGATGAGGTCTCCAAGACCAGCAGGTTCTTCCCAAGGCCAATCCAGCTGGGGGGACCATGGTGTGTACCGCTCAATAATGTACCTTGACTGGCGAGTATTTTTGGTGCATTCGTTGCGGGCATACTTAAGTAATGCTATCTGCTGCTCACTGGGGCAATATCACGCATGATAGTGGTACGAATGGGACTACAGTGTAACGGACATCCCCTGTATTTTTTCCAATAAATAATGTAGATGCACAGAGGGCAGTGGTAAAGGTGGGTGAAGGACTCTTTCCAACGCTACAAGACCTAAAAAGAGCCAATCAAGTCAAGTTTTAGCGAAAGGAATGGCAGGAGGGGCAGCCCAGGCCATAAAGGGGTGGGGAAAGGTGGGGAGGAGGAGGAGGGGCTGGCGCTCGAGAACGGCGTCCCGAAGAGCTAAGCGGGTTTTGCCGTTGTGTTTCCAGGCATCTGAAACCCCAGAATTGCGATTTTAGGGGCGAGAAAGCGAGCGGTTTCAGAGCGGGATTTTGGGGAGGGATGAGAAGGGGGTGGGGGTAAATGGGGTGGCGCTCAAGAATGGCGCAGAGCGTCAGGCTACAAAGTACATAGACCGATAGAGCTTACCCTAGAGAGTATATGTACCACCTCACAGCCTGGTAGCGCAAGCGGTAAGAGAACAGCGAGGGGGGGGAATAAAAAGAGCAAATACGCTGAGTAATCGGGCTAGCGCTCGAGTACCCGTACGCGTGCACCCCAGACAAATTCAAAATCAAATAGTCGAGCGGGACTCGAACCTTTGTGTGACGCCTCCCACGGGAGGCATCTCCCAGGGCTGTTCGATCAGCGCTGTCTGGGCGTCCTTTCGGCGTCCTTAGCAAAACGGTCCGAAGCCGCATGGCTGCCACGCTACACGTGCAGGCCACATGTCGGGTGCCCTGAGCTCGAAGTGGTCGTCAGACCTATTGCACAAGTAGATTAGCTTAGAGTACACCAGTTTCGGTACTTTTGTAAAGCTATTGATGATATAGATGTCTTATGAGGTTACGTAGTGGTCAATATACGAGCGAAACATACGGAATACAGGGCTGACCCCAGCCCGTACGTGGTCGGCCAGGGTTCCTCGACTGACAAGCAGTAAATACACCACTGAATTGCTCATGATTGGTTCGTAGGACATGTCTATACACTAATCGGTAACAACACGCACTCACAGACTGGTACTTATACCTGTGTTAGTAGCAGAATATTATTTTTGAGGTTTCTGACCTCAATAAATGCATCGCGTGGCATCCATGTGCAGCGGTCAGCCACGTGCCGCGAGAAGCTCCGCTAAGGACGCCCAAAGGGTGTTCCAAACAGCGTTGTTCAGACAGCCCTGGGACATGCCTCCCGTGTCTCTGAGGCTTGCCCGCACTGATGCGCCTGTGCGTCTGCACCTCCCGAGTCAACCTGGGACTGCGCCGTTAGCGCAGCCTTGACTCAGTATGACTACGTACCAGTAGAGTAGTATATAAGAGCTTTGAACCATACACTCGAAGCTCCATCTAACCTTTTACCCTTTGTAACTAGAACCTGAATAAAAGTGTCTATTAAGACGGATTTAAGTTCTTTGCTAAGAGTGGGTAATAAGATCTTACCCCATGTACATCTGCTCCTTCATTATTTCACCCACATACCCCATCAATACTCTCCATTAATTATGCTGCTCAAACATGCTCTTACTGGCATGCATAATACAGGCTACAGGTATAGATACTCCCTCTATTCCTTCTACTCAGCAGCTCATTAACACACAGTAAGGCAAATTCAATATAGCTGTTATTTCCACTGAATCACAGATCTATGCAATGAAGTACATGGTGATCACACCACTCTTTAACAACGGCTTTCACCTGATCATCACTGACCTCTGCAAAGTCCAGGCCC